CTATTATATGTCTCGGTGTGTTTTTAATTAGGTTGAGGTTTCTTGGCATTCTGTATGCTTCAGTTAACTGAATATCAATGTTCTTTTCTTTATATAGAGCCAAGTTTCTCACTGACAGATATTTCTTGGTGTATGATATGTTTATGTACTGATAAAATTCATCATAATTTGAAAATGATGTTGGTCAAAATTGTTTTTAATATACCTTACCTAGCCTACTAAACATCATAGCATCAAGTAGCTTTCCTTAAAAGTGATAAGAATACTTACATTAGACCTCAGTTGAGCCAAGCCATCTAAATCCAAGCCAATTTTATAATAAATTGTTTAGTATCTTGTGCACATACACTGAGAAGCTACAGCTAGTCACACGATTTTCAAACTATAGTAAGAAAAAAAATGAACTTGAAAGAAATCAATAGGAAAAAAAAAATTCCTTGTTGAGGAGCAAAAGATGACCTTTGATTTCTTTCTCAATTATTTTTCTCTCACTTCTGGGACAGAATAGTTGATGCCCCAAATTAAGGAAGGAAAGGTTTATTTAACTCAGTTTGTTGAGATTTCAGTACATACTCAGTGGCTTCAAGACAGAGTGGTACATGGCAGAAGGCAGCAGTTCATGGCAACAGAAAACAGCAAAACAGCAAGAACAAAAATGCAGAAGCAGAAGCGGCAGCAGAGAGCAAGCTGCTCTCCCTCCCTTACATTGAATGCAGGCTATCTGACCCAGTACTGGGTCATGAGTTAATCACAAACTCTAGAAACCTGACCAATGACTGCATGATGCTTGGGGGTATTCCGAGACCCAAATCGTAGCAACTTCTTACCCAGAAACCATGTAAGCAAGAAGAAACTCAGTAAAATATTCACAGTGTACACAGACTCCTCTTTTGTACATGTGGTGGGAAGTGAAACACTAAATGCAGTCACCAAAGACTGCTTGCTGGCAACACAGTCAAATATGGGCTGCTCGCTGTGTGCTATGTGGCTGTCCAGGCGCTAAAGCTTGTAGTTCAAAGTACGGCTTCTACGGAATACATATAACTTTAGCATCATTGTAAGGTGAAAATTTGCCAAACT